TGTCGAGTTGAAGTCCTGGACAGACGCACACTCACATGCATACGCACACACACACACACGCACACATGCACACAAAACAGCGGGAGGGAGTTCCGGCTTCTGGATGGGCACAGGGATTTGTCGCACTTTTTCTGGAAAAAACAGGGTTTGTCTGCCCGTCCTCTTCAGTATTAGTGCGTATACAAAGGGCTAGAGAACTAACAATGATTTTCATAATTTAGATTATTACATAACTTTGGCACGTGTCGGGTCATGAGCTTTGCTGCTCCCTGGAAAGCTTGATTTGGTCAGCTTGGTTTTGTTTTATCACTATATGCCTGTGGATGAATTTCTGATTTTCTGTCATTTTGTGCTGCAGGAATTGAAAGGTACGCACGGGCTTCACTTCTGTGATGCTTCGAAACGTATGGTGAAGAGAACACGATTCGAAAAACGGTCTGCCAGGTAATATCTTGATGAATTTGAGATCTTCGAGAATCCGGGATAGCTGCTTTGGTGGATTAATCAACAACGTTTTGCGTTATTATTGTCTGTATGTTGGATTTACAAATCTCCTAAAACGGTCTTCAGAAGGTATTTTTTGCCTAGAGAACACGAAAAAAGGGTTTTTTTTTTAGTCCGTTACAAATAAATTTTGCCGATACAAGGGATAAGTGGCTCATAAAAAAAAAAAAAAGAACTTTCATTCACCCTCCTGCAGTGAAGAATTGTTAAAATCCCACTTTTAGAAAAGTGGCGGAAATCTAGTGCAGTATTATTCCGTTTGACTGGCGTTCCGAGGCTTATCGGCTACAATTTTTGGTGTTTTTAGATTCACGAAAATACGAAATAAAAATGGATTTACCGGTGCTCTTATATTCGGCTACGGCTACTCTTTTGGTGATTTTTATCCTTATAGCTATTGTTGTGTTTATTGTTAGCTGCTTTCATCTTCTCAGGTACTTTTCCGATCGAATTCTAAATGATCCTTAAATATTTTTTCTCAGAGATTTCATTCTGAGGTGCAAAATTTTATGAGAGGAGGGAAAAGAAGTGGTGAAGAATGATATCACTGGTTGTTTTAGTTGGCAAATGTTCATTTTTTTCCTCGTTTTATCATTCTTCCCAGTTTATTTGTTGTGAATCCAGTTGAATGATGAGGCGTTTTTCCAGGAGGCATAGGCTTACGTGGAAAAGCTCAGTCAGCTCAGCAAAACTGGTGTCGAAATCACTGGATATGGCACTTGATGGTAGCATCGAGCAGGTGATTTTCCCCGTCCAGTAAATATGTTGGTACTTGGATTGTGCTGAGATTGGAAAACTCTTATTCGTAGGCAGCTGTGATAGGAAAGGTTTTTTTTTTTCAGATTGATGTGGAGAGGATAATAAATCGTCGTCAGGAAAGGGTTGCAAAATCTGTAGAAGAAAGCTCGGAAAAGCAAGAGGAGCGAATATGCCCGTTGGAGTGTATTGATAACGATACAGCAGCGGTGCTTGCCGTTGATCAGCTTTTAGATACTTCATTTCTAATTTCTGATGAAGAGCTCGCCTGTTATGCACCTGCCGTTGACATGGAAATTCTCGCTGCGCGAAGGGATCGTGTATGATTTTATACTTATTACTGTGGCGTACGCATGTAAGGTATCTCCCTCCTCCGACAGTGTTGAGGTTTGAAGGAAAATGATCTTTTGTAAATAACAGTAGCAGAGGCAGTGACTCGTGTTTTAGCTTTTTATAGTTTAGTGATTTTTCTGACGGAAGTGGAGATCTAAAGAAGGTGACCTTCTGCACACCCCTGTTTTCTTCGTTACGAACATTGTACCTTGGCAAACTCTTTTCCCGTACGTGTTTGTCGCGGAAAACCCGTGAAAAGCCGGCTAAAAATCCGCCACAAAGAAAAAGAATAGAAGAAAGGGGTGTCTTGTCTTGAGAGACAGATACACAGTAGATGTACTGACAGACTGAACCTGGAGTGCAGGAGCCGGTGGTGTACTGGTAACACATTGCGTCCGAACATGAAGAGGAGTGGTTCAATTCCGCCCCAGTCCAGAGCAGTTTTCGAGAAAAGGCTTCGTTCACAACAGTTTATTCTTAGGATTTGGATTAGTTTAGCACCGAGTTCAAAGAGAGTAAACTTGTCTGCTCTGCGGTCTCCATCGTTATTTTCGTTACTGAATTTACGTCATTACTGGTGTTACATTTTGTACGAGGGTGGATACGGTCGATTTTAAAAGGAATGAAGGTATTAAGGTCGTCGTCGTCTATCTTTATTGCTTGATCGGTATACTGTGTGCGTTTTGTCAGGGAGGTATACGTATTCTTCATGTTTCTTGAAAAAAAAAAAATCATGCGTACGCCTCCTGATTCATTCTACATCGTCCACGTGTTAAGGACGAGACACATGATCGTTCTCAACTGTGATATCCGTTTTGTTTTGTTCTTTGTTTTATTTTTCTGAAATGTGCATACTGCTGAATAACCATATCCGTATTTGCTTCAAAATTTCTGCGGTCAGCGAATCTTTCAAACGCAGACGGCTTACTTCCACAATTATTGTCATCGTCTTCTCTTTTTGCTCCTTATGTCACAAATCACAACTCCATCTGCCAGTCGGAGTTGTAAATCACATCCCCAAATTTTTTCTAAAAAGATGAAACAGCAGTTTTTGTGAATCGCCTCAAGCGTATTTGACCTCGCATTGCCTAATTCCTTGTAATTTTTTCATTCTGTGGCCCCCTCAGCTTAGTTCCTAGCCTCTTACATTTCAAACCAATATTTTACTTTATTGGCAG